TCCTTCTCCTTCTCCTTCTCCTTCAGCATGCTTACTCAGTTTTTTTAGAAGAAAAAACTTTGTAGAATTTTGCTGTTTTTGGTCAGGCTTGATACACAGCTATATAGACCAGTGAAATAAAACAGTTCCCTTAAGGTAGAGTTGTAGTTCAGTGATAGAGCATCTGCTTTGCACTCAAACAGTTCCAGGTTCAAGCCCCAGCATCTCCATAGGACAAAACCTTCTGTTTATTAAAAAACAAAAATTCTTGAGCTCTTTCCCCACTCACTGTAGATTCAAAGGTTGCTAATTTTGGGACCCTCCAAAGGTTGCTAATTCTGTCCCCAGCAGCTTTAGCTAGCATGGTCAATAGTGAAAGATACTGGGAATTGTAATTCAGCAATTTCTGGAGAGCTACCAATATCTCTTCTCCAGTATAGATTATCCTGAGCTTAGTGACCTAATTACCTGCCTGTCTTTTTGCAAAACAGCTGCTTTTGCAGGACTGATATTTCAGCATGCCTGCTTATCAAAGGGTGTGTTAACAAGGCCTGGATTTCCTGGATCCTGGGCAATTGAATTGCAATGCCCAGCCAACTTTCTCCCCAACTTAAAGGATGCAGGAAACTGGGAAATCCAACTGAAATCTCAGGAGGAGGAAAAGCAAGCTCTGGTTTCATGATAAGAGTATTTGTCTGCATTGCTGACAGAAGAATCTTTTTACACTACAACAGGGCATCAATCTTTCTGGAGGGCAAAAACAGAGGCTGAGCCTGGCCCGTGCAGTTTATACGAAGGCATCAATTTACCTCCTGGATGACCCCTTTTCTGCTGTGGATGCACCAGTGGGCCAGTACATTTTCAATCAAGTTCTTGGGCCAAATGGCTTGTTGAAGGAAAAGGTACTTGGTGCTACGTCACTTATGTTGAAAGCCCTTTCCTACATAATCCGAACAGGATCCAATGCGGTATTGAAAAGTATACCTTGAGAGGTTTTGAAAGGACCAACAGTTGTGCAATCTTTAGCCCCAGAGTGAGAGATGCTGCTTGAAATACTGGTTGTGTGCAAATGCTTAGGCCCACTGGTTGTGATGAGGCATCATTCCTACAACGATGTTGTCAGATCAGCATGAAGGTTCTTCCACCCCAGCATTTAGTCACCCAAAGTAAATCATTCTGAGAATGGCCCATGGCTGTAATTACATCCAGTTAATTACAGGGATTACAAGTATTGGTTCTCCTTCCTTATGCACTCTGAGATTACTGGACCTCATGCAAGAAGTCTCTTATGTGTCCAGGCCTCAAACCCTTCCTACAAGCTACTGACAGCCAGGCTAAGGTAGTTCCAACACTTAATAGTCCCTTATTGCCAAGGCTTGTGACTTCAAATCTCAGTATAGGGTTTTATCATATGGAGACTATGGCTGATAGTCCCAACAGGACAAGCAGGTCATACAGTGCCTCCTACTGGTCAGTAGCAATTATAACAACTACAAGTATTTTTATCAATGAGTGTAAGAAATTCCCTATTTAGTCATCATTGACATGGAAAATGCCACTGATATCAGAGTAGAGGATGCTGTAACGCCGGGGCAGCCAACCTGCAGTTCTCCAAATGGTGCTGAAGGTCAACTTCCAGCAATCCTAGGCATCCTGGGCAATGGTGAGGGATTCTGGGACTTATAGTTCAATAGAAAGAATATATGTAGCTCAAGGTCAAACTGTGGAGTCCTTGGTGCTCTCAGAGCTTGGTGGTTTGCTTGCAGATGTTTCATTACCCAACTAGGTAACTTCCTCAGTGCACTGATGATGTTACCTAGTCAGGTAATGAAATGTCTGCAAGCCAACAACCAAGCAGAGAGCACCAAGGACTCCACTTATAGTTCAGCAATTTCTGGAGTTCCCCAGATTGTCCACCCCTGTTATCTCAAAGATACTCTGGTCAGTATCTCAGAAATTGTCCTCTTGCTTTCCAGACTCGGGTCCTGGTGACTAACACCATCCATGTTCTGCCCAAAGTGGATAATATCATTGTGATTGTGAATGGAGAAGTCTCTGAGATGGGCTCTTGGCAAGAACTGGTACAAAAGCAAGGGACATTTGCAGATTTCTTGAGGACACACAACACTGAAGAAAAAGAGGAACAGGATTTGCAAATTACTGCTGGTCATCCTGCAGGTCATCTGTACTTGGATTTGTTGATATAACTGGGTATTATTATCCATGAACAGACTTGTTAGAATCGGAGCCACTTCGTGTATTATTTGGGGGCTATGACAAAGTCCCGCACATAATTTATTCTTGTATTCTTCAAAGGGCTATTGACCCATAGCAAAAAACACCTGGAAGCTGAGGCTGATAGTAGGCAAAACCAGATATGATAGTGAGTAGTGTGTGCAGAAATTACACACTTATGTGATTCCCCATGTGAACCCCAGTAGCCACAATGGCATTACTGCACCAATGATGTGAGTTATGTAATTTGAGTAATTTCTGGTATCATTTTCTCCCTTCCCCTCTGTGGATGGCCATGATTAGATCATGTTGATAATGTTGACTGTGGATCACAGGTTCTCTTCTCCAGATATATATGATCACACTTCATGTTTGTGTAATTGGATGGTATTGCACAACAGGCTTGAACCAGATGGTTTAGCAAGGTGCTTTCTTTGAGACACCTATACACTCAGAAGTCCTGCACGATTACTCTTTCCAGCTCCCAGATCTGTGCATTTTCTCAAAATTGAAGCTATAGGTTATTCCTGTAATGTCTCTCTGTCATGTCTCTTCTGAGACTTTGGTCCATCTTAACTCCACAGATGCAGGAAACATTAAGATGATCCCCACAACTCCTGTGACCCACTCTGAAACCCCTGGAAAGTAAGTGATAGAAACCACATTCCCATGGTTCTCTTTATATACATTTTATTCTGAGTGGGAACTGGTAACGACTAGTAACCAGCAACTACTTACTAGTAACACCTCTCTCCAGCAATTGGGGCTGCTGTAGCGAAACCCAGGGAAGCAGCGACAAAGGCCACAGATACTACAAAATAGATTTCTCCAAGTTCTGCAGTGGAGTTTGCAGTTTGCTTCTAGAGTTCACGGTGAGGTATCTGGGCAATATAAGTGATGTAGCCATAGCATTCAGGAACGGGCAGCATACAAATAAACTAAGATGAAATAGTAAATAAAAGTTACCATATTCATCATTGGAGACCCTTTACCCATTCTTGAGAAGTCCCTCTTTTTTCCTCTCTTCTTTCCTCTTCCCTCCTCCTCGTGATCTGTAAATCAGTCCAGGTCCTTTAGCTTTGTGCTAGACTCACCTCCAAAAGCCCCAGAGAAAGCCTTTGGAAGTCCTCTTCTCTCAAATGAGTGCAATTGATGCTTCTTTCTTTCTTTCTTTCCTTTGAATCAAGGATGGGTGAGCCTTTGGCCAAGAGAGACCATTACAAGCCAACAGATGAGAAAGGAATAAGACCAAAAGCAGAAGATGAGAAGCAGGAAACGGGGCGGGTAAGTTAAAGGATCTTCTTGTTTGATTCATTGGGAGGGTAGCTGGGTATGGTAGATTTAGGTCAGTGTTGTCCAAACTTGGCCACTTTAAGATGAGTGGACTTCAACTCCCAGAA